ATTTCTGGGTCTCTGCCATGCATGCAGGATGTTAGGTCGGCGCGAATGCAGCAGGCGAGAGTCACTAATGATTTCAGCACTTTTTATTTCCAGCAAAATGTGACTTTGCTCTTTGGGCTGCCGTAGTTCACCCTTTAAGGAGCTCCAGGCAGACCAGCCAGCCAATGACAGCAGTTTAAATTCCCTGTGGTTGGGACAGCCAATCCGCGGCGAGCATGATAACTTATGTAGATTCTAGCCAATCCATGGGGAGCATGAAAACGTATGTAGATTCTAGCCAATATGTAGATTCTAGCCAATCCACGGCAAGCATGAAAACTGATGTAGATTCTAGCCAATACACAGTGAGCATGAAAACTGATGTAGATTCTAGCCAATCCACGGCAAGCATGAAAACTGATGTAGATTCTAGCCAATCCACGGTGAGCATGATAACTTATGTAGATTCTAGCCAATCCACGGCGAGCATGAAAACGTATGTAGATTTCTGACATACATTTGTACGTAACACAGGAGATGGGCATGTATGCAGGGAGGTTCAAACATGCATGCACGGGGGGAGTGTGAGAGTGTGTGGTGCTCCCCCCCCAGGCTCCATTTTTGGTCCCAGAAGGCTTCAGAGAGGCCTGCTAGGCCCGAAACGAGGCATGGGGGAGTGGGATTCAGCCACTTCAGGCAAACAGGATGCTAATTTTACGTCTGTTCACCGAACCGGGAGTTGCAAGGACTAGCTGGCCCCGCCCACCCTGGGGTGCTTGCAACTAGAGGTGGTATTCAGCTGGACCAGACTGGTTTGAGCGAACAAGTAGTGGTGACCTGCGGGTGGGCCTGTCCTGCCTCCCTGGCCCGCCTAACTGGCTCTATGCCGTCCTATTTAGCCATGTTTTCTAAGCCACGCAAATCAGAGGTGAGTTCCTACCAGTTCGGACCAGTTCAGTCCAGTAGTAGTAACTCGGCCAGCCACATGCCCAAACTGGTTCTATCAGCTGTGCCGTTGGCAGCGCCATCTTGTTTTTTTCTATTTAGAGAATCGAAATTTTCTATTTCTGCGCATGCACGCATAGCGTATCCCTGAGAGAACCGGCAGTAAAAGAAGCTGGAA